TCATGACCCGTCTGACAAGGGTGACCCCTAGGAGGCAGCCAGCTCAAGCAAAGCTGTCTCCGTCAGCATGGCCCATGAGATTCATCGCACTTAAGCCTTCACATCGCGACAAGATGACTACCCTTCGTGAAGGAAACTTTTGGAATATTTTTCAATCTCTTTGTGATCCCTTTAAAGTATGTTGTTCTGGAAGAACTTTAACAACCATGTAAACATTTTGGGTAATAAATTGGGGGACTATCAATGAGGGGAGCGGAACCTCCCATATGAATTAAATACAAAAATTCGTTTATCTGGGAAACTAATAGAACTAAATTCTTCAAATTTTGCACGAAGAACTTTAATATTCATCTGAACATTTTGGAGAAAAAAGGGCGGACTTTCATCTGGGGGGCTTGGAACTCCCATATGAATTAAATAGAAAAATTCGTATATCTGAGAAACTATTAGAGCTAGAGTCTTCAAATTTTACTGAAGAACATTTACAGAAATTGCAATAATTTGCGTGGAATCTCCCATATGTAACAAATTGTATATCTGGAAAACCATTGTAGTTAGAATCATCAAAATCGTTAAGCTGTTTATATTGCTTTTAGGGTAGCACAGCACACTGGGTATAGCTAGTAAATAAACAAATAAAATATCTTTGTTTTTACGTTATTGATAATTTTCTTAATGCAATGTTTTATATGGAGGATAGGGTTAAATATCGGCAGATCCTCGTAAAACTTGGAGAAAGGATTTGTTTTTAATTTTTAAGAATTTTTTATTCATCCCTGCATAATTTCTCACACAACTTTTGAGCTTGCTCTGTTTTGTTGTTATAAACAATATATTTGCTTCCAAAATCCCACTTTCTGATCTCTCGGATTCCGTTTTTATTTAAAATCGTTGAAAATTTAAAAACTAAACGTAGTTGAAGACTTAGCCGGCTTACAGTCGATTTTAACCCGCCGCCGACATATTTGGTGTCAGTCGCCGCCGCCGTTAATATTTGTCGGCGCAGGACTCTGATGACAGCTGCTGTCAAGCGCACAAAGGCTTTTCATTAAAAAAACATTGCGGCTGGTCTAAGCGTTTATTTTTGTTAAAATTATTAATATTGAATTAAATTCTCGAAATACAGGAATATGGAACCAATGGCGTTAGGAAGTCCAAGTGGTAGCCCAGCTACAAACCAATATTTACCATCATTTCTGTTGGGGGAACAGCAAACACCTACAACTCCCAGGAATAACACACTGTCACCAAATAAGGCGGGAGCAAGAAATGTATCGTTTGGATTTGCCACATCTCCTAGTGGAATGGGAGCAAACTCGCCACAAGATTATAACCGTTCTGTCTTGGGTCAGAAAACCCTCTTTGGCGGTTATCAACAAACACCACCGACTATACAAAATATCAACAACTACCCAGGAACACCAATCCAGAGCCATAATGCCAGTATGTCGGGTCCACCTACACAAGGTCTATTCGATTCTTTACGCAATGATCGCAATCAAGTTCAAACACCAACACGCTCTCTGCAACCTCAAAACCAATTTGGCACACCAATAATGGGCCAGCAGAATGCTAGTATCAGTTCGGCATATAATATGAATCAGAGTACACATCAAAACACTCCAGCTGGACAGTTTAACGAATCGTACATGGGTAATAACTCTTCTTTTAATATCTCACGCATGGGTGTTATGTCTCCATTAGTACCTGGGACTGGCAATGTCAACAATACGGGAGGTATTAATAATGCTTCCCTAATGATGCAGTGCCCACCCCAGCCACGTTATACAGAATTCTGGGTAACTGTTTTCGGTTTTCCATCTACTGCCACATCGACTGTAATGCAACATTTTGCCCAATGTGGCACAATTGTAGACAAAGTATTTCCTTCTCAAAATGGTAACTGGGTGCATATAAAATACTCTTCACGTCTGGAATGCGACAAGGCTCTCAATTACAATGAGAAAATACTATCCAACAATATAATGATTGGTGTAACACAATGCAAAGATAAAAACATAATTGACAAAGAAAATCTATGTGAAAATAATACAAAGTAAGTAATAACCTAGTAAATTGTAAAAAAGCAAGTAAAACGAAATCACAATTGTTATTTTCTTTACAGCAGCTCATTAACTCCGAAAGTCCGCCCTTTGGCCCAAACCGCATATAAGAGTGCTCAAAATGATACCTCCGTTGTGGCGGGTGTTAATGCGCCTCAGAAGAGTTCTGGTATAATGAACAAAGCTATGGACTTATTTTTTGGTTGGTAAATTTTATTTAAACAAATTACATCATAAGGCATATTTTTACATGTTACAGTTAGGTCAATCACTGTTTCGAAATTTATAATTTGTTTAACATCGTACAACAATTTATGTGAATGTTTTCATTATTACCAGTTAGTTTAATTTTATACTTTTCATTAATTGCAATTTTTAAATTTGTTTCGTAATGAAATCTTAAAAAATATAAAAGAAAAAATGTTTTTTTATTTTCACATAGTAGTATGTATTAAAGTTATTAATACATACTACATACAATATACTATAAAATAGCGATTTACATACAACATACATATATCCCTAAATGGTAATTATAGGAATCATAATTGGGTGAGCTTGACATTAGTCCTATTGGAAGGGACTAATTTGCATTAAATGGGTTATAAAAGCCAGACTGGGTAATATGCATTCAATGTTTCAAGTTTTTTATCACTGAGCTAAACTATGATTATTATAATCTTCAAAAACTAGTTTTTTCTTTGTGTTTGGTACGACTTTATATTAAAGCGCTTTCTAAAATAAATTAAAATCAATTACTGCATTTATGTTTAAATTTAGTTATTACATTGCATATTTATTTAATATTATATTTTTAACATCTACCAGTTACAAATGAATGACATAAAATATATAAATTAAAGTAGTATTTAGGTACGACTTCTAAAATATTTTATTTTGCTTCGTTTTAATTCTATATGATTTATTAATTCTAATACGTTTTATTAATTGAACGGATAAAACTTAAAAATAATCTAATGATGTTGAAAAATTACAAAAAATCATTTATTTAGGTTCAATAAGGGCAGTTTCCAAATCTTTCATTTTTGGATAATTAACTTCACTGGCATCCAATTTCGACTGGGCCCACATAATTAATTTCAACAAAAACATAATTTTCGGTGTTGAGTCTGCACTATGTTCACACTTAAGAATGGCAGCATTCAATTCACTGGCAATCTTTTCAATATAAATATAATGAAATGTAAAAATGAAGTTTAGTAGTATGTATAAGGGTTACCTTTTGTCTGTGAGATTGCTCCAGTAGATATGCAAAAGGACTATCTTGTGGTTTTTCAAAGGCCAGAAGTGCCAAAGTTCTTTCTAATTCGCTCAAAACCTCTGGAGTATGTTCACCTGCTTCGGATAATTTATTTTGAGCAAATGTTAAAGCATCTTCAATTTTACCAGCTCTGTATAAAAAAATAAGTTTTGCTTACGTTGTTTTAAATATTTTCTTAAAATACATTTTAGACAATTCATTAAAGTGCAATATCTGATCAGTGACCACATACACTATTGCTAAACACTCTAGATAGGATAATTTATCTCACAAGTTTGTTAAATTTTTATTAATTTATTTAAGGGATGAATGTCTATATTTAGCTTGCTTACCTAATGAGTTCAATTAGTTGCAATTGTTGTAAATGAAAAAACAAATGGTGTTCAGTATCCAACAATTCGGGATGCAATTGATTGACCAAATGTGTTGCCTCCTGTATGCGACCATTCTGAATAGCTTCACGTATTAGAATACGATCATCCAATGAATTCAGTTCAATGCTAGGTTCCAGACCAGCTTCAATTTGAAATTTTTCTGCTGCCTCCTTGAATCCTTCTAAAGGCAAAAAATCATTTTCTACCATATACATAGTTTAGTATTTTATTCTATAATTTACTTACCTGTAACCAAATAGTTCATTATTAAACGATTCATGTCAGCTTGTTTAAACGGAAATTGTTCCAGACGCATTAACCACTCCTCCTTCGAAATCCCATCGTTCTTGTCGTTGTAGCTCATTTTCCTATTTTTCCTTATTTTGCCAATTTTGAAGCCGTTTTTAAAACAAGAAAAATATAATAAAATTTGTTATTTTTTATCGAGATTTTTATTTTCTCGCGTTTATTATGTTTCCGTAATCGTAAAATTGGTGATTACAAGCATAAAAATTGTTATTAAAATTGCTAAAATATTTTTTTTCACCAAAAAACAAAAGAAGTACAACAAAGAGCTGCGGCAACAAACATTTACGGAGGCGGCGACTGACACTAAAAAAACGGCGGCAGCTTAAGATCGACTGTAAGCCGGCAATTACAATTTTCAACGATATTAAAAATTATAAATAACCCTTTAATGTCTGAAAAAAATATAAATACGTATAATATTACAATAATTTGCGCAGTTTGTTGGGACCAAAGAAAATGCACTCAAATCAAAAACGCGTAAAATTTAAATATAAGTTATAATAGTTCCAATATTTATTTCAAGTCTATTATTGTCAAAAATACTATTACACTTACAAATAGAAATTTGGTCCATACAAATACAAATAGAAAACATTTCTTATGAATGTATCTAAATTATGAAATATCACCTAATAGATAATGAATATTGGAAAACACACAATTTACGACTTTTTCACGTGAAATAACTGCATACATACATTTGTATTATTTTATCAGTATTGACTTTTCGAAAAGAGAAATCAAATGTGTGAAATATGTACTTGATATTTTCAATTTTTAATGGACTCATACCATAATAAAACAATAATATGGTTGTATCATGGACTCATACCATTTTCTAGATTTCTATTTTCTAATTTATTATTTTTTTCAGGGATTTTCCCTTATCTGAATTATCGTTGCCGTTAAAAACCAGCTGACAGTAAATAAAAAAATTTTGACGTATGACTGAACATGTAACAACGGAATATACTGAACATACTCGACACGACAAACGTCAAAAACACAAACGTTTTGTTTTGCTTTTTTGTGTGCGGCTTTTTTTCTGGAGTAAAATTATATATTTTATCGTGCAAATAATTTCAAATTGTATTAAAAGCAAAGAATAGTGTTTTTATAAAATTACACTACACAAATTGAAAAACTAAAGTTTATTAACGTTTGATAAGAAATATATTTTGAGGCTGCAAAAATGTCAAAAAGTAGTTCAGGGTAAGAGATAATCACTTTAATTGCAAGAATTTTAATAAAATTTATGATAAATTTTCCCCATTTTTAGAAGAGATCGTGATCGTGAAAGGGAACGTGACAGAGATCGGGACTATGAGAGGGAGCGGGACTATGAAAGAGAGCGTGATAGGGATCGCGATAGAGAAAGGAAACGACGTTATTCCAGAAGTAGGTCTCGATCGCCAAAGGATAATAGGTTTGCGCGTAATGGTAATGGAAATAGCCGAATGCGAGATGATAGGAAACGTGATCGAAATGAACGGGACCCAAGGGACATGGATCGCAACAGGAGGGATGATAAGCGCAGAAGGCAATCACCATCAAAATCAAAAGATTATGAACGTGAGAAATTGTAAGTACATATTTCCAAAATAGATGTGTATGTATGTATAAAATATCTATTCATAGTAGTCGTCAAGCAGAACGCGACAGAGAACGGGAACGTGAAAAGGAACGGGAAAGGGATCGTGAGCGAGAACGTCAAAGGGATAGAGAAAGAGAACGTGAGCGTGAACGCGAAAGAGAAGCTGAATATGCTAGGAATACAACATCTACACCACCAATATTAATCAAAGCAGATTCCAGTAGCTCTGAATCTGAGGAAGAGGAGCTCGATAAAGAAGAAGAACAACGGCGTTTAGAACTTGAAATGATAAAACGTCGTGAACGTATAGAACGTTGGCGTGCCGAACGCAAGCTCCGAGAATTAGAAGCAAATAAAAAAGAATTAAAATCATTGCTACCTCCTCCGACAACTACGGCTACGGCTAAAAAATGGAGTCTTGAAGACGAATCGGAAGAGGAGGACAACAGTTTTGCAGTTGACATAAAGAAAGAACCGGATTCACCACCATCTAAATTCCATCGTATCAAAAAACCCAAAGATGACGAAGATGACGAAAAAGTGTATAGATTAAAATCGAAGAGTATAGTAATTGCTGCCAAAGCTAAAATCGAAGCTCTTAGAGAAGAGGAGGAGGCTAAAGAAGAGAAACAAAAACTTCAAATTCAGCTACAGCAGCAAAAGATCCAACAGCAGCAGTTAGAGCAGAAGAAACTACAGGAAAAGCTGGAAATGGATCAGCTGGAGCAAAAATCCAAAACGGCAGATAATACAGGCAATAATGAGGCGACTGAGGAAGACGATGAAATCGATCCATTGGATGCATATATGAAAGAAGTCGACAAAGAAGTACGCAACGTTAATCATATTATTACTCAACCCAAGAAAAATCAACAGGGTGTCGTTATTCTCACTGGTGTGGCTAAGAAAACCACAAAAGATAAAAATAAAGGAGAACTTATTGAACAAAACATGGACAGTCTAGAGTATTCTAGCGAAGAAGAATTAGAAGATATAAAGGATACAGCAGCGAGTTTAGCAAATAAACATCGCAAGGAATTGGCTAAAATTGATCATTCCGGCGTTGATTACGCCCCATTTCGTAAAAATTTCTATGTGGAAGTTCCGGAGCTTGCGCGCATGACGCAGCAAGAAGTTGAAAAATATCGTACTGAATTGGAGGGAATACAAGTTAAGGGCAAAGGGTGTCCAAAGCCAATTAAGGTATGTTATTAAACAAAAATATGAATAAATTACCATCCACAAGTACAACTTCTATATTATTTTTCAGACATGGGCTCAGTGTGGTGTTAGCAAAAAGGAAATGGATATTCTACGTAAATTAAGTTTTGAAAAACCAACTCCCATACAATGTCAAGCGATTCCGGCTATTATGTCTGGACGTGATCTTATAGGTATTGCTAAAACAGGCAGTGGCAAAACGCTAGCATTCATTTTACCAATGTTTAGGCACATTTTGGATCAACCTCCATTAGAAGACGGTGATGGTCCAATTTCGATTATTATGGCTCCTACCCGTGAACTATGCATGCAAATTGGCAAAGATATTAGGAAATTTGCTAAAAGTCTAAATCTACGAGCAGTATGTGTCTATGGTGGCACTGGTATCTCGGAACAAATAGCTGAACTGAAAAGAGGCGCCGAAATAATTGTATGCACTCCGGGACGTATGATAGACATGTTGGCTGCCAACTCGGGACGTGTAACTAATTTGAGACGTGTCACGTATATAGTATTGGATGAGGCAGACCGTATGTTCGATATGGGTTTCGAACCGCAAGTAATGCGCATTATAGATAATGTGCGTCCAGATCGACAGACAGTTATGTTTAGTGCCACATTCCCACGACAAATGGAAGCTTTGGCACGTCGTATTCTAAAGAAACCGATAGAAGTAATTGTTGGCGGCCGATCAATAGTGTGTAAAGATGTCGAGCAGCATGTTGCCATAATGGAAGATGATGCTAAATTCTTTAAACTTTTAGAACTGTTAGGTATATATCAGGAAAAGGGTAGTATTATAGTTTTTGTGGATAAACAAGAGAATGCCGACATACTTTTGCGCGATCTAATGAAAGCTTCGTATCCTTGTATGAGTCTGCATGGAGGTATTGATCAGTTCGATAGAGATTCGACAATTTTAGACTTTAAATCTGGTAAGGTGCGTTTATTGATAGCTACGTCTGTAGCTGCTCGCGGTTTAGACGTGAAGGATTTAATTTTAGTTGTTAATTATGATGTGCCCAATCATTATGAAGATTATGTTCACAGGTAAGTTAATTCAAGTACATAAAAAAGCACAATTTGAAGAATAACTCATTGCGCCCAATTTTTCTCTTCATTATTAACGATTATTTTTCTACAGATGTGGTCGTACAGGGCGGGCTGGGAAAAAGGGCAGTGCATGGACTTTCCTAACTTACGACCAAGGCCGTTATGCTGGTGACATTATAAGAGCTTTGGAACTTGCCGAGTCTGTAGTACCCGAAGAATTGCAAAAACTATGGAATGATTATAAGAATGCTCAAGAAGCTGAAGGAAAGAAAGTTCATACTGGCGGCGGTTTTAGTGGCAAAGGTTTTAAATTCGACGAGCAAGAAGCTAATGCCGCCAAGGAAAGCAAAAAACTCCAGAAAGCTGCTTTGGGATTGGCTGATTCGGATGATGAAGAAGATATTGAACAAGATATTGATCAACAAATTGAACAGCTGTTTGCTGCAAAACGTACAGTCAAAGACACTTCCATACCCACGCCTGCAGTTACTATGGTTGCCACCCCTACGGCGGGTAGTACGGTCATTGCTGGCTCCGCTCCAGCAGCTACTGCATCTACGACAGCCGCTGCTGGAGGTATGAGCTCTGATAAGCTTGAATTGGCCAAACGTCTGGCTTCTAAGATAAGCTCCAATAAAAATTTGGGCATCGATGGCAAGATCAGCACTCAAGTGGCTGCCGATGCTATTCTTAAGGGCTCCGCAACTGGACAGCCAATGATTACTGCCCGTTCCGTAGTGGAACAGCTAGCTGCCAAACTAAACAACAAACTCAATTACCAACCCAAAGACGAAGAGGAAAGTGCTACAATATCTGGACTTCTTCCAAATCAACCCAACTCCTTCACAAAATACGAGGAGGAACTCGAAATTAATGATTTCCCACAACAGGCACGCTGGAAAGTTACTTCTAAGGAAGCTTTAGCTCAAATATCCGAATATTCGGAAGCTGGTCTTACTGTGCGCGGCACTTATGTACCAAATGGTAAAAATCCACCGGAAGGTGAACGTAAACTTTACTTGGCCATAGAAAGTTGCAGTGAATTGGCTGTACAAAAAGCGAAACGTGAAATTACACGTCTTATCAAGGAGGAGTTACTAAAACTCAGTTCAGCTCATCATGTCTTCAATAAGGGAAGATATAAAGTACTTTAATTCCTTGTTCTTTTTTTTACAACAATACAAAAAACATGTTTTTCTAAGCGTTCTAATTCTATTTTTAGTAATATAATGGACTTTATTTTGTAAGAATCGTAACGATTTTAAAGAAATGAAATAAAATGAAAATTAAACGTGTATGATTTGGTTTCAATATGTAGTTAAAATTAATTTTTAAGCACCATTTAATAAAAACGCATTCCTAAGCATTTCCTAAAGTACTGCGCATTAGATGAAGCGCAGTGATGCATTTCCCAACAGGACCGGAATTAGGTTTCAATATGTAGTTAAAATTAATTTTTAAACACCATTTAATAAAAACGCATTCCTAAGCATTTTCTAAAGTACTGCGCATTAGATGAAGCGCAGTGATGCATTTCCCAACAGGACCGGAAATAGATGAATATGTTTGAACTAAATTTACGAGTTTTAAGATAACACAAGTTATAATTTAGAAACTAGATTTCTGTTTCTCGATAAAATCCATTTTTTATGAATATTTTTTTTAGACTTTGTGAAAAATATTAAAACACTTGTACAGGCCAATACATTTACACAAATACTTACTCGTTACGAAATTCGCCGGAAATGTTTAGTCCTCTATTGGTACCTTTGTGGTATATATATTTATTTAAAAAAACAGTCATATTATAGACCATATAAAATATTTTTGTATATAGATATAAAAAATACTCTGGAATGATAAAAATTTCCATAAAAACATTATTTTTTATGTTAAAGCTAAATAAAAAAAGAGAATTGCAAACAAAATATAACAGCGAGAGTAGAAAATAATTAGTTAAGGCTCTTTCTTCTGCCTTCTTCTGTTTTTATAATAGAATCTAAAACATTTTCCAAATTTTGTGTAGCTTCGGATAATTCCGTATTGTCACTGTATGAGTCTTCCACAATCTCTTTAACTTTATGCAATAAAAGTTTGAAATTTGTCATTTCGGTCTCACGTGTATGCACTGTCATGACGACATCATCGTCGTTATCATGATAATTAAGTTCATCCTGAGAGGAAACTTCAGTGAGTACACCTAAAGTCTGAGGAGGCGATGTTAGGGATGGTGGCATTGATGAAGATGAACGTTTTTGATTAAACCACAAACTCAAGTCATTTATTGAGTAATCTGATTTGTTGGCATCCAAATAACTACGATTTATATCGGCACCATTTACTACATCATTAAAGTTAGATAATTTATTATTGTTAGGAAATTGTTTAAATTAAATAATGCTTTACTTACTTGAATGTGTTAAATTGTCTTTTGGTGTGTTTAGCATACGAAGATGGTTAATAGCAATAGTATTAGTTTGTGGATTAAGAACCGCACTGAAGTTGTCTAAATCTGTGGGTGTTTTAGCAAAATTAGATCGATTTGGTGTACTAGATGTTGGAAATGAGCTCATTGCTTCAGTAGTGGAGGTATGCTTCTGTTAACAATAATTTATATTAAAATAACACATTAAATAGTAAAAATTTTTCAAATTACCGAAAAGTTGCGCATTTCTGTTATAATATCCATTAAAAATTGTTGATGATCGCTCAGAAATCTTGAGAGTTCGTCTTGAGTAGAAGTTTGCACACACTTTAATTGTAGTTCTAGTTTTCTAATGGAAAAAAATTAAATATATTATTAAAAGGATTTTAGTTAATTTTTAATTATAGTCTCATACTCATTCTGATGCAATAATTTGTCTATAATTATTTGCAATTTTCCCGAAACATTCAACGCTGTTGATGCGGTTGTAGTCAAGCATGAAAGCGAAGCTAAAATAGTATAAATAAATTAGTAAACTATTATTCAGCAGAACTATTAACTTACAATCAATTTTTTGTATATTTGAGTTTTGAATCTTGTCATTCGGTGATTGCGAATTATTTAAATTAGCTACCGCTGTGGCTGCTGCTGCTTTAACACTAACTGTAGAGGCATTTGAAGTACGATTGGTGGCAATTGTTACTAATTCTGTATCATTATGAACTACCGTGTCATTGATATTACATAAACCTTTAGATTCTTCATTTGACTTTTCAGAATTACAGAAAAATACCGTACAGAGTTTGGCAAAATAATGTGAAAACTTTTTTGTTGGCAAATCCTGTTAATTAAACATAATTAATAGATATATTTGTTAATGGTGAGTTACTGTTTACCTCAGTAAAAACTTCATACATTTTATGACCCACAACATGTTTATTAGTGCTATAACCGGTGGCAAAACATTTTAAACATAACGATAGATCTTTGCAGGATTGACATTTAAATCGTATACCAGTTATTTTGTCCATATTACATGATGCACAAACATTTAAATGGATAAGTTTTTCGGTATCCTCTATACGTTTAATTAGCGCCATTAAATTGGCATAAATTAGAAAACGCGTCTGTGTTGTTGTCCAAAGAGAATGAAATTGATAGTCGGTAAGTCCAGATGTATTGTGACACTAAAAAAATGTTAAATGTTATTTTTTAAATCCTACCTTAAAAGCGTAAAACATACAATAGGTATATATCTATTCTATGGTGTAAAACATTGCTATACATACCCTGGCATAACACTGATCCATAACTAATGTAATATTTTGTGCTCCATAGGCAGTTCCTTCACCAATATATGAAAATATTTTGGCCAAAATAATCAACAAATATTCAAAATTTAATTTGGGCACAGACTTTGTCTTCTTGTGATGTAGTAAATTATAGAATTCAGGAATCATCTGATCGGAAGCATACAACTTACAAAGCAGTAGAAAAGTAATTTTGATCTCCAACAATGATATCGAATGACGACGATGCCTGCAATTTTATTTTTTTTCTTTAGTATTCAGCTTACAGGTATTTTAACAAATGCTACTTACGGATCAAAGATATTCCAAAAGAAATTGGAGAGAATTGCTGTCGCAGATTCCAAACTATATAAAGGTAATTTTGTAAAATGACCCAATTTTTCGCAGGCATAGTATACATCATGTATAAGAGAAGTTAATTGAAAGGGAGGTACCATTAAGTTGACATCACCATCTCGTATACCATGACGTTCCATAACAGCCAATACCAATTTGTATGGAATATTGCTAGCTGTGTTGAAACACAATAATTTAATTCCCGAAAAATTCTTCAATTTATATAGATTTTTACTTACTAAAAAATATTTTTTGCAACGCCACAAATTTTGCTGCACAGCGATAAACTGTATACTTATAATTTTCGAATTCATGGTGCAGTTTGCTTATTATCGCAGTAAGTTTAGGAAAATCATAGATTTGTTCTTTGCCGCCACCACAGGTGTAATTACAAACACTTGTTGCCATGATCACAACTAGTCGTTTTGTGATAAATGTGTGCTCAATCAGTAATTATCTTTAGTAAACTATGTAGGTATATACTTTGTCTACTGCTTTAGACTTAATTATTATTTAATTATCTTTCAATAATGAAAAATTTTCGTTTGCTTTAAATATTTTCAGGCAAATATTTATTCGTTAATATTAATGTCAAAACAAATTTGAAAAAGATTTGTATTTACAAGTTGGTAGTTCTGCTGCAGTATTCACAATAGTGCAAGCTAAGGATGCCATATCATGTGATTGAGTATTTTGGAAATATCTTAACAAAACTACAGTCAAACTCGCATATAATACTCTTGGTTATACGAACAAATTTTCAAGTCCCGATATTTTGGTAACTATTGTTATACAAAAACCATCTCTTATAACGAACTCGGTTATTACGAATCCTCGTATAAAACGAACTTCTTTTTAAATCCCTCAAGTACAATTTCATACAATTTTCCTATTCTATAACGAACTTCAAAATTATGTGTTGAAATCATAAGATATATTAAGGTTTCTTGGAAAAAAGTTAAATTTGTTATGAAATATATGAATAAATAATATTAATGGTGTTTTTTGTAAAGAATATTAAATAAATTTCTAAATCATATTCTCTTAATTTCGTAAAATTAAATTTTATTTTTGGAACTACAAAAAGATCATCCGTCTTATTACCCTGCAAATATTTTCTATCGGCTGCTATATTGCGGAAGTATACGAATTCTTATTATTAGTCGGGAAGAACTGATGCTGATCTGGGTAACGTCGAAGCGGAACGTGGAAGATAAATATGCAGAAGAAACTTATAGATGACTCTTGGTAAGGTATTGCCAAACACTCTTCTAGATATGACTAGGAAGTCACTTCTTTGAGTGACACTTGTAGTGTGGGGTTTTTTGAAAAAAAAAAAAAAAATTATATTATTAAAAATACTTTGGCGTCTATGTCCTCTTTATTTCGACATTGAAAGGTCTGCTGACATAAACAGTTCTTTAGTAAGGTCCCGAACATTGTCCAATTTGTTTTAGACTTATTTCGTAAATTTATCGGCTTTGGTGGCGGCCGTAGTATTTTGAATCTTATGTACCGATAGTCAGAAAAGGAGTGCTCGTCCGAAACTCTCCAATCCTGAATTTCGTTTATAAGCTCTTCTGAACATATGCAGCTGCGTTCAAAAAAATAGGAGTGAGACTTAAAAATAATTGTGCTGCTTAATTTTAAAAAGAAACATTTACAGAAATTCAATATTTTTTCACGATATATGTTTGTTAAGTGTTTAAAATACAAAACGAATGAAATTTTTTATATGGGTTCATTAGTTTTTTTGGTATTCATTTTTTCCAAATGCTGAAATAAAATGTCAGAATTGACGAAAATGAAATCTGTTCAAATATCTTGAAAATTATGAAAATATCGCGAAAAAAATATGAAAAACCTCATGGTAATTTCATTAAAAGATTGTTTGAATACTTTAGGAAGTCAAATGTTTTAAAATTTCCCATAAAAAATAACCATTTTATTCAAATATGATAAGCGCTTATAATTTTTTTAAAATTAATCCAATTAGGGCGTCCCAAATTAGTGAAACTAAGCCAAATTGTAGTTATTAAACATCGTGATCAATATTCAGTTAGTTCAGATCAATTTTTACACAGAAAAAAACTGAAAAACGATTTCAATTACCAAACCCTCGTTTTCAATTATTTTATTTATTGAAGTTCAACCTATAACAAAAATTGTATGTATATTCAATTACTACTTATAATTGATTTCGTATAAAAAATTTTTATTTTTTTTATATTTTTGTTGTTGTTAAATACGTATTTGATTATACATTTTTATGATTTAAATACAAAATGAATTGAACCCTTTCAAAATTTTCGATTAACCGTTTAATTGAAAATTTTTTAAAAATATTTTTTTCTGTGTAAACAAATCTTTTTTGAAAAAATTTCATTTCAGACCATAAAGCATATAGTAAAACCAATAAAGTTTGCCAAGTAAAGTATTTAGAGGTGGTTTTATACATGGATGAATTTTTAATGCATGAATACGACAACAAATTACATTTTTAAATCTAAATGAATTCAGAAAATATATTGGAAGTCCATTAATCGAAAAATATTAAGCTCTAACCAACTTTCAAAGAACTCGCATAATAGGAATGATTTTGATTGACAAAAATGGTATGGTCTAATAAATTGTAAAATGGTATCGAAGAGCAAATGTTGTAGGTAAACATATTACCCCAAGATATGTTCTCATATTCCCAATAAACAAATTTGATAAAATGGCGGTGTTGTGGTATGAAAACATTATTTATTCCAAATTGATGAAAGGTCCGGAAGCTCATATACCCAAATTCTATATAAAATCTTGACAAAAATAACTGATGTTGTACTGCTACACATTAATTAATAATATTTTAGATGAAATTCTCTTCGTTTTTGTTTTTATTTAAAAATATTTGAACTTAAATCAAATACTCCTATTATTTTGAACAACAGATTTTGTATATAAATTTAACCCTTAAGTGGATATCAGTGCCTGGCCAGACATTTTTTGGATTTAATTAAATTTTTTATATTAATAGAATTGAGATATCTTCTTGAAATTTTATGAATTCCTCATTAGTTATGTTTTGTACAGAAGAATATAAAAAAAAATTAAAATTTTTGTATTGTGGGCGTGGTTATCTCCCCTAATAAAATTTTGTTCATATTCATACCTCCAAGGCCTGGTCAGAACTAGTAATGTTTTAAATGGATATAAGTGCAATCAAAACTAAATATTTACTATTTATACAACAGTAAATGAAATCAAAACAAAATCTATGAAAATAAGAGTACAGAAAAATTATTGGACAACATTTTATTTTTAGTGTGTAAAAAATAACAAGAGAATAACAGTCATTTTATTTTCTGTTTCAACAATTCATCAAATAGCTGCTTGTGCAAAAATTTACAAGTACTTATAGTAATTGTAATGAATAACAATGTCGATATCGTTATGGAAACTATTTCAAGATCTGATCCCTGATTTTTTGAAAAAAATTTGCTGAAGGCATTGCTAAATTCGTGAAAGCTTTCGATGATAGAAAGCTTTCATGTTGAAAATATGTACAAGCGAAAACGACAAAGAAAATAAAAACGATCAAACGTTTTTTTATACGTCCAACAATAATGATTTATTTTATGGAAAAGATGGAATAGAGTGGTCCATGTCTCTTCCATATACCAGAAGATTGTTCATAAGATATTGAGAGGTATAGGAGGATGTTGTTCTATTAGAATATTAGGCCTAAACAAATTATAATAAATGAGCATACAGCAGAATTATTGAAAACTACAAACATGCCTATTTACATATGTATGTATATATATTTCGAATAATGTTATTGAAGAGATTTTAGCTTTTATTACGATTTATACGTTTTGGTGATTGCCGCACTGGACCTTTTCGATCTCAAACCGATAAAGCTGATAAAATCTTAAACCAAATTATAAGCCATATGAAAATATTACCGTTGACGAACAACTTTTTCAGTTTAGAGGAAGAACGAAGTATACTCAATATATTCCTTCAATATATAATTTATTTTGCATCTTTTACAGGAACCAATTGGACTTTTATGTCAATTGGCTCTGAGTACTTGAAAAGCAAATCAAAGTGCAAAATTTATAAAGAAACAGAAATACAAATCGTAAATCGTAAAAAGTTTACCTCCAGCAAAATGCATATACATTTGTTTAGAATGTGGTCAACATTAAATTACATAATATTTCAATGCATAATATTACAAATTTTATCGAATTTTTATGTTTTTTTTTCGTTTTTATGTATTTAAATTTTAAATAGTTAAAACTATGAAATCAGTAAAAAAAAATTATTTAAAAATTTACCAAATTAATTAATATTCACAACATAAAATAAGTTTGTGTAACCAAAAAAAAAAAAAACATAAATTCAGTTATTTTAAATTTTAAAATAAAATAACCAAAAAAACATAAATTCAGTTATTTTAAATTTTAAAATAACTGAATTTTTTGTTTTTTTTTTTTTGGTTACACAAACTTATTTTATGTTGTGAATATTAATAAATTTGGTTAATTTTTAAATAATTTAATTTTTTTATTGATTTCATAGTTTTAACTATAAAATTCCATACAAAATACAAGGGGTCCCAGCCAGGCCTAAGAGTTTCGTTGTGCCACTACTGTTTGGTATCCTCTTAAGGGTTAAAAAAATATATATTTTTTTAATAAAATTCTTAAATATTTAAAATAACGATTATAAAAATTAGAGAACAAGTTAAATAAATAAATTATAAAAATATTTAATTAAAAATCTAAATCTTTCACTAAAAAATTTATATTTAAAAATTTTGTAATTTTCACTCCTATTATTTTGAACGCAACTGTAGTTATATATAATACTTCTTCTCTGAACCTATTGAGGAAGGTAGCTTTACTACTTAAGTTCAATGTGATCAAGTTTTTAGTATTAAGGAAATCCATGAGGCCTTGTCCTCTGCAATTGGTGTTTGTACTACCCCAAGCTACATAGTCGGAGTTGGCATCGCAACCTATTACAATTTTCTTATTTTTTCTTTGTGCCTCTTCAACCAGTTTCATCAGATCCGACGTTGGTGGTAGTGTCAGAGAATCGGAAGGCAGGTAAACAGATGCAAGGTATACGTTGCCACGACCTTGCTTCAGCACCGTTGCATCCGATGTGGATGATCCTATTGAGAGGAGAAAACATAAGTTCTTGTGATAAAATGCATGTTCTCGGGCCAGACCTTGTATCAGCATATAAAAGTTGGAAATGTACGTGATTTAATCCAGAAACCGAACGAATAATCCAAAGTTCCTGTATTAAAGCTATATGTATCTTACCTGTGTTAATTTTAGCCATCAGAGCGTTGGTAGCCGTCTCGATCCGATGGAGGTTTATTTGGATAACCTCAATCATGGTCATCCATTATACTGTCTTCCAGCGAGTTGGTGATCACCTCCTCGCTCTATGGGTAGCCTGAAGTAGCTATTAATGCAGTGGGTACTATTGATGGCACTGCTCTGTCCTTATCAGGCATAGGAATAGCGGTCTTTTTAATCTACACCTTCCCAATTTTATTAATCACTGCTGTTCTGTCTTCTGGCGAGTGATTGATCTCCTCCTCGCTTTTAGGATTTGACTCCTCAACGTTATCAGTAGTGGCTACTGATGCTGTGGTCTTAGGTTTTTTAGTGTCCTTTTCGAGGCTTGTCGTAACAGCCCTTCCAATCGGCACCTTTCCAATTTTGAATATGACAGCTTTTGAAGCGAAGTAAGCCCTACCTTTGTTCTTGGCAAGACTAGCCATAGAGTTCTTGTCGATACCTATTACAAATAAAGTTCCCTTAGGTTCTTCTTTCCTGTAAAAGACATCAAATTTGGCCACCAGTATACGTTCATTAGCCAGCTTACTGCCTCATCCTTTTATGTAGACAGTGGACTTTAAGAGCACCGGAAGATCGCTCTTCTTTGCCAGTCCCACGGAGGAGGGATACTTTCTACCAAGTTCTTTAGAGTACTAACACATTGGAGAGATGCCATCCTCATCAACATCACGACCATGCTGAACTCGCAGCTCACGCTCTCTATTGGTTGTTTTGAAGTGATTGCGTGGGCACTATCTTATTGTCTTCTATTTATACTGTTGGTCTATTGGTATTTTGCCTTTGGAGTAAAATGGGGGCTGTTTTCCTTTTCCACTATCTAGCTTCTCCATCCTCGTTTTTCGGGGCTTGTTTTGAGATACCCTTACCTCCGAGGTTGATTTCTCTGACGTGGTCATCTTTGGAATATGTTTTCTTAGTAATAAGAAGGAAAAACGGGAAAACTCCCCCGAGTAGGGTAGGCTTAGAATCATTGTTTGTGCGCGAGGTACAGGTGGCACGTACCTTTTTTTATAGCCCTATTGAAAATGGTAAAATAGGTCCATTATTTCAATTAGCTCGCATACAACTGAAATGATAGGGCCACATTTGACCCTCGCATACAAAGAAAGGGATGGTTGATATTTCTTTCTCTTTCTCTCACACGCAAAAATCAAAAGTTTCCCTGTGTGAACCGGCACTAACTGGATTTATGTCTCAATATTGTATAGGAAATCCACATAATTTCAACAAGTTTTGCCCAAATCGACTCAAAACACCTCAGTGGAAACATGGTATTAGTGGAAACATTGCACAATGCTAAATGTTATACTGTTTTTAAATTTTGCATCATCAGTCTAATTTCAAACTCGTTTATAACGAACTCGGTTATAAAGAATTCTTAATTATTATGAACACTTTTTCAAGTCCCGATATTTTGGTAACTATTTTTATACAAGAAACATCTCTTATAACGAACTTGGTTATAACGAGTCCTCAGATAAAGCGAACTAAATTCTGTCCCTTCAGTACAATTTCATACAATTTACCTCTTTTATAAGAGAATATATAGGTTTCTTGAAAAAAATAAAATTTGTTAAGAAATATATGAACAAATAATCAATGGCGGTATTTTGTAAAGAATATGAAACAAATTACAATTCACATTATTTTAATTACGGAAATTACCCATCATATAACAAACTTCGCTTACATCGAACAAATTTCACTTTTCCCCTGAGTTCGTAGTAAACGAGTTTGACCGTATATCGAATCACAATAATACTTTAACCAACGCATCTGGTAACTATTAAAATGCTTAGTAAAAACCGATTGGCAACGCTATACAAAATAAAACAATCACCGTCGTAAACACAAAAAAAAAAGCAATCACCGCCAAAGTAGTTATTTTATTTCTAATGGAATTTTGTTTTTAATAAAAAGATTTTTAATTAAATAAATTGCAATTAATTAAGTTCTGTGAGTTGAACAAAAATGAGTTTGAGTTTAACTAGAAAACGTAATCGTACTAGCGGTGCTGGGGACGCGCAAAATGAAAGTGTCTCAACAAAGCGTCGCAACTGTTCCCATGGAAATTTGACACAAAACACCACATTGGTAATGTATATTTTGCATTTGATAATTTATGTATTGATGTATCTGATGCTTAATAATAACAATCTTAGTATAATGTAGAATACTAAGCTGTATTCATAAAAAGCTGTAATATAGATATACTACGGGAAGTCTTGCATTTTTTTTGCCGAATTTCCTGGGAATTCCCGCAAATTTTTATCAGGGAATTTCTTTAAACTAAGCATAAAACTAAGATTAAGTGCTAAATAACTCTAATATTCACAAACAAAATTTTTATTTTATAAACAGTTTATAAATTAGATTTTGTATGGAAATTTTGTTTTATAAACCTTTTATAAAATAAAAATGTTGTTTGTGAATAAGGGGAATAAAATGTATAGGTATGTTAAATGATCATTGGTACAACAGATTAATATTTGATTTCTGAAGAGTTCCCACATAGTAGGGTGAACGACTCGGGTTTTCCACCAGTCTTATCTGTTTTACTAATGCCAGTTTTTTTAATTGTTGTTAATTTTTCAAATATCGGATAACCCAGTATTTTACTTATAACCTCCTGTTTAAATATTCATGTTTGAATTCATGGGATAATTAAATTAAATTTGGAAGGAAAAAACAATGCAGCCCTAAAAATGTTGGACATACGGACTATTCAGGAATTTAACTGTCCCAACAGAAAATTTATAGCTTACTACATTGATATTGTGTTGTTTATTTTTTATTCGAAAGTGCTTACAAACTTACACACACTCTGGCTTACTTTACACAGGGTATGGCCGCTTGAAAATGACACACTAACTGATATAGTTGGTTTGCGATATTGTGTGTAGATTATATTTTTGTTATAATATACTTGTGTGTGGAAAAGTAGCTATTCCTACATTCTTACCGATATACTTGGTAAGTAAAATTGTTTCTACAGCACCTTCCTAGCTGGAACACAAGTGTATCAAAAAATATCTACAACAACTTTCTAGTTAAAATACATGTGTATTAAGAAGTATCTAAATATGTATGTTTTTTTAAAAAAATGCTACCCAAATACATGTATCTACAAATTCATTCATAAGTATAAGGCCATATATAAGATCATGATCCTAATTTTAAGCAACAAATTTTGCTTAAAATTCATCTAAACATTGAAAAAATGTTGATCCAAAAAATATTTTTCGATAAATGAAAAATTTTTTGTTGATTAAATTACAGCACACTTTATTTTTATACCCTTCACCTTCGTGAGAAGGGTATATATAAGTTTGTCATTCCGTTTGTAATTTCTATAATATAATTTTCCGACCCTATAAAGTATATATATTCTGGATCCTTATAGATAGCGGAGTCGATTAAGCCATGTCCGTCTGTCTGTTGAAATCAGTTTTTAGAGGACCCCAGATATCGGCGAGATCCGAATCTTCAATAATTCTATTAGACATGCTTTCGAGAAGATCGCTATTTAAAATCAGCAAAATCGGTCCATAAATGACGGAGATATGAGCAAAAATCCGAGACAACCTCTGAAAATTTCATAAAAAAATACAATTTTTTTCATGCTTTGATTAATAAGCAACAACAACAACACTGCTTATTCATTGAGTATTTCGTTTCACATGTTTGGATGGCTCAGCCATCATGGCTGTGTGTTTCATTGGCATGTGTATATTGTTTTTGTTTCTTGGTGTATTCAGTTTCGTATGTTTGGATGTCTGTTGGTTTGATTGTGTTGTGTATTTTGTTTTTGTTTTTTTTCGAGTATTTCGTTTCGTATGTTTGGATGGCAGTGTGTTTCATTGCCTTGTGTATATTGTTTTTGTTTCTTGTTGTATTCAGTTTTGTATGTTTGGATGGCTGTGTGTTTCATTGCCTTGTGTATATTGTTTTTGTTTGTTGGTGTACAGTTTCGTATGTTTGATGTCTGTTGGTTTCATTGCGTTGTGTATTTTGTTTTTTTGTGTATTTCGTTTCTAATGTTTGGATGTCTGTTGGCTTTACTGCCTTGTGTATTTTGTTTTTTGAGTGTTTATTTCGTTTAGCGTTGTTGTTGTTCATTTTGTTTTGCTATTGCTATAATAATGATATAATCGGGAAAATTAAATAGGTACATAAATTAAAATTTTATAAAATATATATTTTTCCAATACACTATAGTGAAGGGTATATAAGATTCGGCACAGCCGAATATAGCACTCTTACTTGTTTTATATTTTAATTTTCTGTTCTCATATACAATGTTAATCACAAGTATATTAAGATGTAATGCAAAAAAAAATTATTAAAAATTTAAAATTCATATCCAGATTTTATATACAAGTAAATCAAATTATAAGTAACACAAAGTAAAGCACACAACATTGGTTACAATTCCGAGTACTCAGAAAATGTTCTGTGGGGGTATAGAAAATAAATGAATTTTATAAAATTCACATGATTTTAATGTTTAAAATCAGTAAAAAATTACTATAATATTTCCTTCACCCTTTTATGTTTCAGTCACAAAGTCAGCGTTTAAATGAAGATTCACGACGTTGTGGTAAAATTTTACACATGCGATTGACCAATTTTATGTGCCATTCAAACTTAGTGATAGACTTTCACTCCCGCGTTAATTTTTTAGTGGGAAGTAATGGAAGCGGAAAAAGTGCTGTGTTGGCTGCCTTAGTTTTAGGTTTAGGAGGAAAAGCCAAAGATACTAACCGTTCAAGCAGTGCCAAAGGTACAATTTGCAGTCTTACACAATATTTATATATCTATAATAAATTCACAATTTCTTTTAAAGGTTTCATAAAAAATGGAGAAACATCAGCTAAAATTGAAATCGAAATTGCCAACGATGGTCCACAGCCATATGAACCCTACGTTTATGGAGACAAAATTACAATTGTTCGAACAATAACAACTACCTCCGGTGCATATGCTATAAAAGCAGCAAATGGTTTAGTAGTTACGAAAAAAGTTGATGACTTGCATCGCATTCTTATGTATCATAATGTACAAGTTGATAATCCAGTTTTTGTATTAAACCAGGACAGTGCTCGAGAATTTCTTAAAGAGTATGTTAAATAATTATTAACAATTAAATTGATATTTATTTATTTTTGACTTGTAGACTAGAACCATCGAAAAATTATAGCCTTTTTCTTAAGGCAACACAAGTTGATGTGGTAATGGAAAAACTTAATGAATGTTTACATTTGCATAGATCCCATACACACGAGCTGAGCATTTATAAAACTGTAAGTAAAATAATTTTCCATAATTAGCTATTTTTTTAATAAAACTTTACTTTCCAGAAATTGGATAAACAACGTGAAGATATATATGAACACGAGGAAAAACTTAAACAAATTTTATCTTTTGAAAAATTAAAGGTATTTTGTTTATAATTTTACTGTAATAGTCACAACATTTTAAAGTTTATTTTTTATTTATAGGATGAATTATTGAATTCTGAAATAGAATACTTGTGGTCATTAGTCAAGGAGAAAGAAGACTCTTTGATAGAAATTGATGAGAAACTTGAAAAATATCACAGAAAAGAAAAGGAAATTCTGGAAACAATTCAAAATAAGGATGGAGTGAATTTAGCCCTAAACCAAGAAATTAAGTAAGTTAAGCAATAAATAAACATATTTTAAAGCAAATAATATTATGTAACATTTTTTTAGAAAATTTGATGAAATAATTTCGTCCAAAAATAATGATTATCAACAGGAGAATATGCACTATAGAGAAATAAAAAGTAAAGTTGATGCTCAAACAAAATTAACAGTAACCTGTCAGGAGGAAGTAGATTCACTAAAAAAGAAAAAATCACGTTTGGAAACACAAATCGAAGAAATCAAACGACACATTGATGAACGTTCCAAAGGGTAATATATACTTTTACTCATACGCCATTGAATAAATAACTTAAATTGTTCAATATCTTACAATATATTTTTAATATCGTCATAGCAATCAAGATGATGTTGATGCTTTGCGAGCTGAAAATAAAAAAAATATTGATGAATTCACTAATCAATGTGAAATGCATTTAAAACCATTGATAGAGAATTTAAAACGTGAATTAAAAGTTCTCAGCGACAATAAATCTCAAAAGGAACAAATTATACACGAAATAAAGCGACGACAGCGGGAATGTTCGGATGAAATACGTAAGTTTTAATCAATATTCTTATTTGTTGCACTCTTTAATTTTACTCGTAACGCTTAGGTATCCGAAAAGTACAAATAGAAAATGTCAAAGCTAGTGCCAAAAATAAACTTTCAATATATGGTGAATATATGCCTGACTTAATCAATCAAATACACAAAGCAAATTCCGAAGGCAAATTCTCCCAACTACCCAGAGGTCCAATTGGTAATTATGTGGAGGTGCCGAGGCGTCAATATCGTGATGTCATTGAAAATATATTAGGTGGGGCCCTGCTAAATGCCTTTATTGTTAACAATAACAAAGATCGTGATACATTAAGAGCAATTCTAAGTAAATTTACACAAAATCCTCCAAATATAATCACAACTGCTTTTCGCAATCAAGTACACAACGTGAGTGAAGGTTGTGTACATCCACCACAGGGCACAATTTTGGCATTAAACGAAATTAAATGTAAAGATCCCGTAGTAATGAATTGTCTGATAGATCGTGGAAATATTGAGACAATACTTATTAGCGACAGCAAGGAGTTGGCCGAAAGTATAACATCAAACCGTGCACATGTTCCAAAGAACTTGAGTAAAGTCATTGTTTTAAATGATAACAATGTTATTTTTGAATATTTCCCCAAGCCAAATTATCGTATGTATACAACAAAGATTAGACAAGCGAATTTTATCCAAGTAAATATTGATGAACGTATAAGGTAATAAAACATAAATCAAATGCTTTATTTGTCTCTACGATAATGTCTTTTGTATATTTAAGAAATTTGGTAAATGAAAAATCATCACTTGAAAATAAATTAAAAGATCTAGAAGTCGATTTAAATCATACGGGCCAACAAATACCACAAGATTTGAAAAATATTGAAAAACAGCGCGTTAAATTGCATCAACATGAAAACAAACTTGCTGAACTTCAAGAAAAAATAAACGAACTGCAAAATGTAGAATATGCTGATTACAATTCTGAAATTGAGTATTTGGTAAGTTGGTAAATTTATACAGGTTTTTTATATCAATAAATTTAATGCTTAGAGTCATTTAATTTACTTCACAAACTTTGTGAATAACTTAGTTTAGCTCGTTTTTAGATCTTGTTAAGTTTTAGTTGAGTTGTGCAGTTGTAGTTTAGTTCTATTTCAGTTCTAGTTCAGCTTAGCTCTTTTTCAGATATTGTTAAGTTCTAGTTGATTTCTGGTTCTGTTCTAGTTTAGTTCTAGTTCAGTCCTAGTTCAGTTCTAGTTCGGTTTTGGTTCAGTTTTAGTTTAGTTCCAGTTCTAGTTCAGTTCAAAATTTTAGTCTTTATTTTTTAACAAACTATTTTATCTTTAATATATCTACTTAATGTACTAATAAATTTATAAAATTAATTTAGAAAAAAGAAATGGATGAAACTAAAGAGAGACTTGAAAAAGTCGAAGAAACTTTAAATGAAAAACGTTTTCAACAAACCGACATAAAAAGGGAAAAAGAACGATTTGAAGATGAATTAAAGGCACAACACACAATTTTAGAAGAAATACAAAATGAAATTGAATCCTATAAGGTAAGAAAATATTCTAAGACCACAAATACATGTTAGTTAAAATTAACTATTATTATCTTGAACCTTTCAAATTATCACGCTCGTTATTAATAAAACCTCATTTTAGACTAAATCGCATCAAATTAAAATGAAACTGCGAAGTGTTAATAACAATGAATCCTTAAGTCGTGAAAAATTAACAGAAATAAAAGAAAAACTAAATAAATATCAGTGTGATAGAAACGAAATTGCAAAAGCTTTAAAGCAAGCCAAGACCGCAGCCAAAGAAAAGGGTGAACGTGTTGATACTAAGGAGAATTTAGAAGAAATACGAGAAAAGATAGCAAAAATAAAAGCCCAACTGAAACATGGTCTGCCAGTGAACTTAGATCCTCAGGAATTGCGTGAATTAATTGCTACAAAGAAAGAATCCTTAGAGGCTAATGAAGGAACATTTGAGAATATAAAAATATCAATACTTATGGTAAATATTAGTGTATTTAAAAATTTACTCAAAATTCTAAATTTTTATAAATTTTTTCATATATTTTAGTTAAGAAAATCCTTAAAATTCCGCTTTGATTTTTTGAAAAAGCTCAAGGAACATATGGCTGTTATTTTACAATTGTCTTTTAGTGTAAGTTAGCATGTTAACTTATAAATGTTTGTACATAATTATCATATAATTACTAATCTACTATTTTTAGATGATTTTAAAACTACGAAATTTTGAGGGTACTATTGATATTGATCATCAAGAGAAGAAATTAAAAATTTCTGTTATTCCTCGTGACCATAATAAAAATGCTGTATCTAGCACTAAAGCACTTTCTGGAGGAGAACGTTCGTATAGTACAGTGGCATTTTTAATTTCATTATGGTCTTGTGTGGATCATCCATTCTACTTTCTCGATGAATACGATGTATTTACAGTGAGTATATATTTTTTATTAGCTTGGCTTATATGGGAGCGTTTTTTCTTTAACATTTCTTAACCATCTATAGGACGAAGTAAATCGCGAGTATATGACTCGATTACTTATTGATGAAGGTCGTAAACGTGCCCTCCGTCAGTATTCATTCTTAACACCTCAGGATATGACATTAGTACCAGAACATTTTATAAAAATACACAGGTATTACTATTAAACTAACAATATTATATATTAATTATATATCTTACGCCATCATTATTTCTTATTTTAGACTTGCTGAACCTGATCGCCGCTAATATGAATTTATATTAAATGAATTTATAAAGCATAGAGAGAATGCAGCATAGAAAGCAACTGGATTTGCATTAATTTAAACATGACTTAACTATATATATTTATCTGTTGAATTGTCTTTCTTTTTTTGTATTAAAATGTAAAATGTTTTTTAAATACATAATAGTTTATCATATAAAAATTCCATTCTTGCATGAACATTTAGCGTATTATGACATATTGTGCTGATTTTATGTTTTTATTATTTGTCTCGCTATGTTTTTCTATAGTGTTATTGTAATTTGTGAATTACCATTTTAAATCTTAAATATCCGTTGGAAGTGGATTAAAAGCAACGAAGGATGAGGATGGCAAATGAATAAAGGTACATGGCAACTAACCCAATTGGAAGGAGATGAATTAGGCGGGACATGAACATTCAGTATCATTCGGGAATTTGAATGTTAAATACATTGTTTCAAAAGCGTAACATAACCTCAGTCCTATGTAGGTACCGTTTGTTATAACTGATGTAACCAGAAAATGTGTTCAGAACTCACTAGACACATATGTATATGCGATTGTCCAGCACTAGTAATCGTTACAAATAGATTTTTTAATTTGTGCTGTTGGGCGACATAGTTTTCACTTGTTTTAGGATGTAGGACTACATCTATTTTTTACTACTCTATCTCTCTGACTTTTGAACTTTTTCTATTTCTTCATCTATCTTTGTTCTTCCCATATTTTGTTAATTTTATTATATTATACAGCATCCAAGTGAAGTCATACGCTCTAGTAATGTAGCTGCGTACGAAAACTGAGAATTGATCAATTTTATGGACTTAATTAAGTTACTAATTATATGTAAGTTTAGTAAAATTCTTGTTATTATTTTCTAGGGTAAGATACAAACATATAAAATATTACATTATTTTTGTTTTTATACATTATTTGTCGAGGCAGTGGGAGCTGTTGCTAATAAAACTGGATCTGGTTTAGCTCGCTTAGGTAGTGTGGCAGCTCTTAAATAAGGATTATCAATATTAGGATTTTCTAGAATTGCCTTATTTGTGCTTGAATTTGGCTTAATATCATTGTCTGGTTTGGTATCTTTGTCGTTCTTCTCTGATTTCTTTTCGGATTCTTCGGCGCTTGCACCACCACTTCCATTATTTCCACCACCGCCTTCATTGCCAGCGCTCTCTTCTTCATTACCACTTTCATTCTCTTCGTCATCTACAATCAAATAAAATTAAAAATATTTAAACAATAAATAAAATATTTCCCGGCATACCTTTACAATCTTCGGTGCGATTAGCAACTAAATAATGATACTCCAGTTCTTCGAAATCAAACACTTGATCGGTGGGGTTTAATGCAGCTAAATATGGAGGAAATGATGGTTTACAAGCAATTACTGAAAAGAAAGCAAAATTTTATTCCAACATCAATAATATTTAGCATTACATTCATACATGGAAACATATTATCTTCCGTATCAAAAAGACTATGAGTTTCTGAGGTTTTTGCCAGAAATTTTGTTAAGGCTTTTTCTATGTCTCTTTTCTGGGTGGCAGCTTTTTCCCGTATAGCTTCATACTCTGTTACAGGTTGCTTATGTGTCTGTAAAGATGTTTAAGATTAAAAACATATTTCTAAATTGTAATTTAATTATGGCGGAAGTATTCCCTACCGGCGTTCGAACATATGCATGTGGATCAGGAAACAAAGGCAAATAAGGTAAAATATGAGGAGGATGCTGCGATTTTGTACCGGCCTGCAAAAGGTTTAATTGTTTTTGCTGTTGTTGTTGGGCAGGCATGGATATAATTTGTCTTCCTTCCCTTTTAGCAAATGCCTCAATACCTTGAAGTGATACACCCATATTTACCAACGAGACAATCACATCACCTATTACAGGTATTGTACGGCCGGAGAGTTCACAATAGCTTCTAGCCGACTGACCAACTTCAACTAACACTAAAAACATTAAAATTTATTACTATGAAATTTGGAGCGAGTTTGTCTACTTACTGCTCTGTAGCATTTCTGTTAGAGTCTCTAAACATTCTTTGTCTACACTATCAAAACCCTTCTCCATTAGAATTTGTGACACAGCTACACTTAGAATTTTGCGTCGTGCATTTCCAGTGGGTTGTACCGTTTCAGTTTTATCCATATTTTAATTTTTTTAATAAATTATAAAAATTATTTTTTTTGTTTACAAATGTTATTGTAATTTACAATTGCTCTTCTTCTTCACGTCTTTGTTACTCAACGTAGAATGATAACAGAAAGGGAAAGCCACAGAAGAATTCACAATAGATGATTTGATGCGATGAAAATGGTACTATTAACCAATTTTAAAACTAGACTGTCCATAACAAGAACATGATATAGCCGGTCATGGCCGACTGTACATTAGTAAGCATGATAAAAATATAAATTATTTTTTATAAAAAAGCATTGAAGTTGTTTTTAAAATTTTGAAATATTTTAACAAATTGCTGGAAAGATTTATAAATGTCATTTATTCAAAATTGCATCGTGTACTAGTGTTTATAAGGGAATTATTGACTTACAAGTAATTTCTGAAGACTACTTTGTATAACGGCTATGGTTAAATAAGGCCCGGTCATTACGAAAATTGGTACTATCATTTAGATTTATGTAAAACTAAGTTGTGTCGATTTTGTAAACATTTAACATAATTAAAAGATTCAAATCCCTATTCATTTCTTCTTCGGTATGGGGGCTAGAAGAAATAAGAGACCGACTTCAACCATTTTCAACAGATTTGGGCCAAGAGAAGAAAATGTGCAAAATTGTATGAAATTATATTTAAAATTACGACCTGTATCGTGCATAGCAAATGGAATACAAAGTAGTTTAGTTTAGTTTAAAAGGGTTGTATATCAATGTATACATCCACTCGGAGACCCAATGGTCCATTGTGAATCCCTTTAATAAAGAACAAGGAGAAAACAGAAGAAAACAGAAGAAAGGAGAGATGAGAAGAGTGAGATTTTCCCTCCAAAAAGAGAACAGAAAAAAGAAGTGGTCATGGAAGGGAAATCCTTAATTGTCTATTAACTGAAAATCCAAAAAGTTCCCCTAATGAAGCCCATAATGTCGCCTAGGTTACACCCTGCTACATCTCCTAGTTCATCGTGGAATCCTTTACCTAGCCATTTCAGTTTCAGACTCTGTAATCTGGGACAGTGGCATAAAATATGCTCTACTGTCTCCAGTTCTTCTTCGTCCTCACACAACCTGCAAAAATCCTGTGTGTTACCGACCCCATTACCCCTAAAGGCTCCAATTGAGCAGTGTCCGGTTATTACCCCTACTAAAATCCTTGTACTCTTCCTGTCCAATCCTAATAGCATTCTGGTTGCTTTTGGATTTAACTTCGGCCATAGTGTCCTAGAAACCCTACAATCCAGTCTACTGTACCAGGATTGGTTGGTGGTTTTTCTGAAATATTCGGAAATTAGCCTATAGTAATGACAAATGGGGGGTTTTACCGAACTGACCCTTCTATCGAGCTCCAGATCCGAGCCCTGTCGGGCCAATTCATCTGCAATCTCATTACCCTGTATGTCACAGTGTCCCGGTACCCAACACAGCCTGAGTGTGTATAACCTGACTAACCCTTCCAGGTCTCTTTTGCAGCTGTTTACCAAGCTAGAATGTAACGTTTTACACTGCAAAGCTTTAAGAGCTGCCTGACTATCAACATAAATCGTCACTTCCGACCCCCTAGTAATGTGTGTCTTAATAATATCCACGGATTTCCATATAGCCAGGATTTCCGCTTGAAAAACGCTACATTCGTCCGGAAGTCTGTAGGACACTCTTATATTGTTGTCTACCAAATAAACCCCGGCACCTGTGCCAGAGTCCATCTTGGATCCGTCAGTGAAAACTGCACACCCCTCAAACAGTACTTCGGATCCTTCCCACTCATCCCTACTAGGAATCACTATTGAGGGTGTTACTCCGAAGTCCAGGGTCGTAACCAAATGATCAGAAATACCCTCCGTACTTCCCTCAATTCCTGTTAGACCTACCTCGTACAGTATTCTAGTGTGGCCTACCCGCTTTGGTCTTACTAGAGCTGATTCAAACAGTCTGAATAAGTTCCTAGCCGCTACACTCTCAACATATTTCTCAATTGGGAGCAGATTCAGAATAATATCCAATGCTGCTTGCGGTGTACTGCCCCTGGCACCTGTTATGCCGATAGAAGCACACCTTTGAGCCTTACTGAGTATTAATCTATAGCTGCATTTCCTCATTCCTACCCACCACACAGTACAACCATAGGTAATGATGGGCCTTACTACCGACGTGTAAATCCAATTTACCATGTCTGGTCGCAAACCCCAATTCTTACCAATAGAGTTTCTGCACGTGTAATAGGCATTGAGCCCCTTTTTAAGCCGTTCCTGTATATTCTTCTTCCAAGACAATTTTTGGTCGAGGAAGGTCCCTAGATACTTGGCTCCTTCCGATAATTTCAGTTCAACGCCGTCTAATCTCGGCAAGCTAAAACTCTCAACTTTATATTTCCTAGTGAAAAGTACTAGCTCCGTCTTAGATGGATTCACACCCAACCCATTCCTGTTTGCCCAGGTTGATAGATCACTTAGTGCTGACTGCATGACCTCACTGATTGTCGGGAGAAATTTACCTTTGACCAGTAGCACCACGTCATCCGCATAAGCGACTATCTTCCTACCTTTAGATTCAAAGATCCTTAGGATAGAGTTGACCGCCAGTAACCATAGTAGGGGAGATAACACTCCTCCTTGTGGTGTACCCCTGGTAACTCGTTTGCGAATCCTATCATCCCCTAAGGTTGAGTTGATAATTCTGCTATCAAGCATCGATACTATCCAACTCACTAGGAAATCCTGAACTCCGAGTACGACTAACGACTCTCTGATGGCCTCTATTCTAATGTTGTTAAAGGCGCCCTCTATGTCCAAAAACGCGGCTAGAGTATATTCCCTATGCTCTAAACCGTGCTCAATACAACCAACCACCTCATGTAACGCACTCTCAACCGACTTACCCTTTAGGTAGGCATGTTGAGCGTTGCTAATAAGACGGGTATCTATATTGCTCCTGAGATAAAGATCTATCAGACGTTCTAAAGTCTTCAGTATAAAAGACGATAGGCTGATAGGCCTGAAATCCTTAGGTTTCGAGTGGCATGCCCTACCGGCCTTAGGAATAAAGATTACCCTAACCTCTCTCCACCTTCTTGGAAGGTATCCCGTGAGGAGACACCTCTTGAAAATATCAGCTAGAAGTGCCAATGCGTCTTCAGGAATATTACAGAGCATGGCCGGAAAAACACCATCCGGACCCGGTGATTTATATGGGTCAAAAGTGTTCACCGCCCAGCCCAATTTGTCCCTAGTGACTATTTCATCAATATGACCAGATGAATAACTAGAAGCCCCAGGTCCTTGGACCCCCTGACTTAAGTCCCTATCATCTATATCAGCACAACCTGGGAAGTGAGTTTCCATAAGCAAAGAGAGTGTCTCTGAGCTGGACTCCGTCCACGAGTTGTCTTCACGCTGAATGTAACCTAAGGCCTTGGGGTCTTTGGCTAAAATTCTACGGAATCTAGACATCTCATTTACGTTGCCAACAGATTCACAGTAGTTCCTCCATGATATCTGTTTTGCTCTTTTGATCTCTCCCTTATACTTATTGAAACTCACTTTGTAGTTGTTCCAATCTTTTGGAAGTCTAGTAAGCTTTGCCTTATTAAACAACCTTCTAACCGTCGACCTTTGATCACGTAGTTCCCTGGTCCACCACTTAGGTTGCTTATGCCTACCCGGAAATCTCAACGGGCAGGATAGCTCATAGCTCTCCGTTAACACACTGGTAAATTTGTCTACAACCTTATCCAATTCGAGGGACCGCAGAACATTTATATCCATCTGCGAAAATCCTGACCGGACCCTGTTGTAGAATTTTAACCAGTCGGTTTTCCTACGGTCCCTAAAGGGTTCCTGCTTGGATTTACTCAAATTCACTGTGAAGGTAATCCGGCTATGGTCAGAGAACGAATAGTCGGTATGTACTTTCCAATCCCTAATAAGATCCTCATTTTGGTTAGTAAGGGTAATATCAATAACTGTTTCCCTATCTTTATTCCTAAACGTTGGCATATTGCCCCTGTTACAGATAATAAGATTCCATGCAGTAATGAAATTAAACACTAACTCACCTCTTTTATTAATGTCAGCACTGCCCCATTGACTGTGATGTGCGTTTGCATCACAGCCTAGTATCAGGATAGCGCCCTTCCGCTTTGCATACGCCGTCAGCTCCAGCACCTCTACACCAGGCGGCTCTATAGCTTCATACGGCATGTACACTGAGGCCACCGAGAGCAACCGCTCACCCTTGACCTCTCTGTTTATAACGGTTAGATCACCGCTCCTAAAAGAATGAGATATTAGAAAATTAAGTTCATTCTTTGCCAATATACAAGTTCTAACCTTATCCTCAGTGGACGGGACGAACAAAGTATATCCCGTGATCGCTAATCCACAAACCCTATTGTTATTTAGCCATGGTTCTTGGATTAGGGCCACGTCCGTCTGGGAATGGGTGATGAACCTTGCCAACTCCGCTGAAGCTGCCTCACAATGATGCAGGTTTATTTGCACCACCTGCAGCTTCCTTGGATCTGTCATGCTTAGAGTATCTAAACCGTACAGTTCCAAGTCCGAAGTTGACAACTCCCCTCAGCCCATCCAAGATCTCGAGGGATTTGTCGTCTACAGCGAAACGGAAATCCCTCCCTGTATTCTCCTTGCACACCATTGAAGCAACAAACTTCCATTGGTTTGTAAGGAGATTACTGTTCTGCTTGGCCAATACCGCCAGTATGGTGTCCACCGGTCTTATGGGTGGTGGAATCCACACTGTCACTATTGACCTGAGTGGTAATTCAGATGCATAAATCACCTCGAGCTTTGAGTCCGGACTAAGGTCTCCAAGCTTGGCAACCGTGGCCCTTAAAAATTCAAAGGAATTTTTATTGCCACAGTTGACAATCTTGATGCCCCTAGCCCAGTCTGCACCCTTGAAGGATACGTCATCTGGGCTACCACTGTATGCAGCGATTTCGTCCAGGAACCTGCCCTCGACCAGCTGCCAAAGCTCGGGACTGATCTTCCCATCCGGATCAGACCGATCTATAACAGCCGCCCGAAAGTTTCCATCCAGGCTCGTGGATTTCTTCACCTTCTTCGTTGA